ATCATATTTTTAATAAGAATAATAATATTTTCGAGATTTTCAACTCGAATATAAAGTACTTGACACTGAGTACCCAATAACGAATGACTCAAGCTAACACATTTTTCTTCATTGAAAAAATGATAATAATAATCTAAATGAAGTTTACGAATTATTGTATTTGTTAATTTGAATAATGATGATTGAAATGGTAATGAGGTATCTTGACGAACAGTTAATATGTGTAGATGAAGTGCTTGATCAAGTAAAAATTGCAATTGAGAATAAAAACTATCAGTATAAGACGATACTGTAAGTGAATAGAGTCGTTTTATACTTGGAACCATTGACCAAAACTGATTATTGATAGGAAGATTTATATGAAGATCCTGAATGTTTGATAAACTAATATTGGATGGAATCGGTGGGCCAAAAAAAACTATCGCTATAAATGCGATTCATATTATTATAATACTCTTGTTGATTGCCACGAATCAAGTTGTTTATATTCATAGCCATTAGGTAATTTTGATAAAGAGTCAAGATGACTAGTATTGCTTGCTGTAATGCATCGGATAAATCATTTATGTTCATTCATCCAAAATGAACTTCGAAATGAATTAACTAGTTCATTCACTTGCTCGTGTATATCATGATTAGCATCAAATCTATGTTTCATTTTGAGTTGAAATACTTTCAATTTTGATAAATAGTTACAAATGATTTGTTTCCATTGATTAATTTAGACCCTAAAGTAATATCAAAACGACGTAGATTATGTGTATTTTGTAAAAAGGAAATAATTCTCGATGTGTCAGGTGTAGAATAAATACTAATCTTCAAATCGATTAATGTTGAAAGAGAAGAAGATGGTATATAATTATCATTGGTATCAGAAGAAATTACTAACGAAAGATATTTAAGATGAGGTGTATGTTCAAATAGTTTGTTTATCTGATTCCATTTAAGTTGATTATTATACAGATTTAAATATTTGAGAGATGTTGAAATGTTTGATGGTATAGATAAAGAATTCCATCTTTGTATGGAAATATCATCATTACAATGAGTAAGTTTAGGTAAATTCCATATCATGTTGACAACTGATTGAAAATGTGATGATTAAGATGATGACATTCATTGACAATTTTCATTAATATATTATATGAATGAAGATGAAATATTGAAAGTGATCGTAATTGAGTAAATTGACTAAATGATGGTATGTAAGATAGAAGTAAATTAATTTGTCCTGAAGTATTTTCACCATCAGAAAGACTAAGACCAATAATTTGATCAACAATAAATGGTAGATGTTGTGAACATATTATATGAAAATTATATTTTGATATCAAATTAAAGAGTGGGTGTGGAGAATTAATTACCAAATCCACCCCTACATCCGCACCCACACTCACTCACACCCACACCCACATCCTTTTTCTATTAATAAAGAACCTATTCATATCAAATGATGAGGCATACTTCACTAATTAAAGATAAAGTTCCTTTTTAGAAGTGCCGAATATTGTTAAAATTTTGTCAATATACCTAGACCATAATTAACGAAAAAAGGCTATTTTCAACGGCTATCTTACAAGTTACCAGTTAGCTCCTGTTGTTTCGAAAGATGTGATCTATGAAATATGTAGAGATCAGTGGTGTGCAGTTTTTAAGAAAGTTTCATGTTATTACTCAATTGCCCAGTGGTACAGGACTGAGCACACTGGAATGTCATTTGGTCAATAAATATCTTATACCTACGGGGAACTACCCTTTTTAATTACACGACAACTGTAGTGAAACTTATCGATTATAAAGAAGTGAAAAGCATCCATAACTGTATCGAGTTATGTCTAAACACGAAATTCACATAAATTTATCCTAGAGCATCATAAGGCCTCCAGAATCTATGAGTACCATATATATTCTTATAGAGTTATAACCAGTACATTGGCCCTTGTGACATGAAAACTCAATGAATATTTGACTTCCTATATACCATTCGACGTGCCTTAAAATTCTCTACAAAACCATATACAATACGTTCTTGTTCCAACTAGGTCCTTTAAATTATGAAAAAAAAATAATTTAGATTTATTTTAAATTTAAATTTCTGATAATTTAATTTACTCATAAATAAAATTGAAAGTAAATATAAATTATCACCCTTATTCATCATAGTTTTCGTGAACATACTCTTATTCATTGAAATATTTTGTTTTTTTTAAGATTATTTTTGTGTCAAGCTAGCTGAAACTTTCTTTGAAAGGATCAGTTTGTTGTGATAAAATTAAAATATAACTTTCCAACTATTTTCTTTAAATTCATCTTATATTAATTATCTTATTTGATATTTCATATTGTCTAACAGGTATGATTGGTAAATGAGTAAAAAGTCCTCGTGTTTCTGGAAACTTGAATATTCTTCCGTTTATAATAATTCTCGTAATTAATCAAAGATGCTCGAATCGAATAAAACATTATGATCCATGGCCTGGCGATTCCAAGGAATCATGCACTTTGGCATACAGATTAATTTCATTGGATAAATTTTCCTCACGAAAACTCTCTTGTTTTTTTTCTATTTATTGATTTGAAATTCGTTTTTGGACTAACTCAATTTTTTCTGAGAAAAGTGGAACGCACCTTTATAGGCGACACCGTAGATTTCTGTGATTCCGTATATCTCTCAGAAAGGTTCAATTGAACTCAAAACGAACTATAAATAAATAAATAGAAAAAACACCAGAATTTTTGCGGAAAATTTGTCCAATGAGTTTAGTATGTGTGTCGGAGTACGTGGTTTCTTGGAATCGTCAGACCATGAATCATTAAGGTATCAGTCTTGTAATTTATTGCAAGAGGATTGACTCAAAAAAATGAGCTAATCAGCATGTGAACCTATCAGAATTTACCATAAACGTACCGTCACACTTGGTGTGCCGCACTGAAGCGCACTGGCTGACATGGGCATATTAACCAGCATGTCAGATGGCGTTAGCTACCTTCATCTATTACCCACTCCTAAACGGTTCATTTGAATATATTAAAAATATACCATTATAATATGATTTGTTCTGGATTTGAATGAAGAAATCTATTTGTAAAACTTCTTTAGCGTTTTTCTCAAAACACGGTTTCTAGACAGGAGAATTGAAATAACTTCCTCTCGATTCTGGGTATAACCGATGTTTGTTTTTGTTTTAAAGATCTTTATCAAAGCTAACTTTCCGTCGGACGGATTTTCGATACTTGATTCCAGGACTGAGAAAAGTGGGATTTACTGTTGTGAAGTGACATTTTTTATGCATATTTTGCACATTATGTCTACAAAAATAGTCATAAAAAATGAATGGAAGGAAGTTTCAAAACTCTGTCCGTTGAAAAGTTGCGCACAGAGACTAGCTTTAATTTGAAACCAGTCTGAGCTCTGTATCCATTCTAACGACGGAGTTATTTCGATTCTTCTGGAAGGTAAGAAAACAAGCCGAAACATCGATCTAGTCAGGAATGAGACTGAAATTTTTACCACCAGCGTTTCTCACTAGGATCAATCATTTCTGAAAATTTCAGCCCAAAACGGTCCATTCTCAGTGGGAAATCAATTCTGAGGTGCTCCTTAACATACTTCAGATGGATTTCAAAATAATCTCACTGTAGCAGATACTTTATTATTTTCGCTCAACAAATCACGAAATGGTCTAGAATGGTGTCTCTTAATATTAGAGGCAATAAGAAAAATAGCTGATATCGACTATTCCTATATATTAGAAAACCGTCGAAAAGACAATTGAGATAAATGATGTCCAGGTAAAACTTCTTTCGTGGTAATAAGTGTCATATATGCACTTTATAGTTAGTAGAAGAAGAAAAAATATAAACGGAAAGATGGTTGAAATAAATACTCGTTCCGAAAAAGATCCATAATATCAAATACAACCGTGTCTTTTCAATAAACAAACTGAGAGTCAGTGGTGCACAAAATCTATGAAAATATGGATGCACTCAAATGTCATTTATGTGTTCGGCTTTCTACCTTATTCTTTGCCTGATGAAGTTACGATGTAGATATGACTAGTACAAAAATGAGTGAATTATATCAATTTTTAGTCAAGTATTATTTTATTTTTATAAATCAGAATTCGGTTGAACACGTAGAAAACCATTCTTTTTTTTGGATAAAAGTACATGAAATAATGTCTGTTTATGATTGATTAGCACATATGCATTTCTTCCTCATTATTAGATCCATATTAATATACCATTATCAGTTTCTGAATCTCTAACGATCAAGTATTTTAATGACAAACGACTTTTTA